TAGTTAATTCCACCTCTTCAACTGTACTTCTGCACACAAGCACCAAGAAGGGTGAGAGAAAAACAAACAAAAAATGCCTGATGTCTGTTAAAATTTATGACCACAAATCTCAAGTGGGCTCTCATTACAGCCCAGTATTTTTACTGCATTTCTTTACCCAATTCACTTTCTCACTCTCCTAGCAGATATTTTGTATCTCTCTCCGTCACTCGTTAAACCTTCAGATCTTCATTCTCAGCTAATTACCTCATTTATTATTTTACTTAGAAAGTAGGATAATTCAGAAGAGAACTACTTCAGAGTCCCAAAACCAAATCTTCCAAGCTATTTGCATCTGTACATCTATACTCTCTCTTCTTTCCTAGGAAAATTAATGAACTGGTAAAAAATAGCCAAGGCAATTTTGAAGAACAGGCAGGAGGATTTACATTCAAGATATTAAAATTTATTAGAAAGCTATAGTAGTTAAGAGAACATACCATTGACACAACAAATAGCTAAACAGTGAAAACAATGAGAATTGGAATGGAAAAGTGCAGAAACAGACCAAACATGTGCATTCATCTGACTTATGAAAAAGTGATGCTGCAGTGTAATGGAGACGGTATGGTCTTTTTAATAAACAGTGTAGGTCAAATGGGTATAAACATGGAAAAACTAATCTTGAACTCTCATTTACACCATACTAAAAACTAATTTCAGATGAATCGTAATCTAAATATAAAAACAAAACAATAAAACTCTTAGGGATAAAAGACTATGGTCATGATCTTGGGGTAGAGAGAATATCTTCAATAGGACATAAAAAGAAAAAGATTATAACATGGATTACAAGAAAATTAAAACCTCCTGTTAATTAAAAAAAAGAAAAAGAAAAACAACTAAAGAAACCAAACACACCACAACCACTAAAAAAATACACTAAAAAACCAAAACACTGTTGAGGAGAATGAAGAAGCAAGCCACAGCATGGGCAAAGAGACTTGCAATACAAATCTCTAACAAAGGAATAGAATATATAAATAACTACCACAAATTAATAAGGCAGAAACAATCATCTAAAGAGAAAATAGGCAAAATATTTGAATAAATACTTCTTTAAAGGGGATATAAAATTGATTCATAAAAATGTGAAAAGATGCTCAACTTTATTAATTGTCAGGAAAATGCAAATTTAAACCATAATGATGTAGCAGTGAATAATGACCAGAGTGGCTAAAATGAAGAAAGATAATAATAAATGTTGACAAAGATATGAAGCAAGTAGAACTTTCTATACAATTACTGGTGAGAGTATAAACTGGTAGAATCACTTTGGGAAACTTGAGCAGTATCTACCAAAACTGAATATACACATCCCTTTAACCCAGGATTTCCACTTCTTGATAGATATCTAAAAGAAATGCATACCTATGTTCACAAAGAAACATACACAAGTATTTTTATGGTCGCACTGTTTATAATAACCCAACTATGGAAACAACCCAAATGTCTATTAACAGTAGAATGGGTAAATAAATTGTAATATGCTTATGCAAAGGAATACTATTCAATGATAGTGAATAAATTATATATACAGGAAACAACATTGAAAAATTTTACAAACATAATGCTAAAAGAAACCAGACATAGAAGAGTATCCTCTCTGTAACTCAATTTGTATAAAGTTCAAAACCAGGCAAAATTAATTTAAGGTGTGAGAAATTGGGGAAGTGATTATCCATGGTGAGGGGTACCAGTTGGGTAGGGGGTTGTTTTAAGCACAGCGAATTTATCAAATATCCTATTAGAAATAAACATTATTTGAGTCACCTTTGCATTTGTTAACAGTGATCATCATGGTATTTCAAGTGGGATAAATGAGTAACAAAATAGTAAAAACACAAAATTACTATCAAAGATATGAATTCAATTCAGATTGTCAACCTTTCCTTCTCTAAAGTCTGCATAAAACAAGTCTAGGTTTTGCAAAACTTATAATTCTCTTTATGAAGCCTTCACTATATTATCTTTTAAGAAAAGAAAGATATTTTTAATCCATATCTTTATTTGCAAAACTGTAAAAACAAAAGTGAGTAAATTACTTTGAAATAAATCAAACACAGGCAGTCACTTTCCCAATCAACCTTTTATCTCATCAGGACAACTGTGAACACCTAGAATGCTGTTTCTCAAAGCCCAGTGCATAGAATCCCTACATTACTACCCCTCTTGGAATCTGTTGCCACATCAATATAAAATGGGCATAACAATAGCAACTATCTAAAGTTGTTAGAAGGATTAAATGAGACAATGCACATAAAATTCATTAACACAGTGACTGCTCAGCAGATGGTAACATTTAATACTAACACTCTTAATTTATTTTTGATAATGTCATCATCATAATAACCTGACATGCTCACTAAATCACTATTGATTTCTAGACTCAACCCTGCACCTAACCAAAGCTGAAGGGCCCAGAAATCTGCATTTTAACTAGCATTTGGACTGATTCTTTTTGCACACTACAGCTTGAGAACTACTATCCAGAGATTAGGGCTTACTTCTTGTTTCTTCTTCATAGCTCCAATGCAGGGGTCTGTACACATGAATGCTTATTGACAGGCTGGCTGATATTCAATATTGCCAGACTAGTATGATGTAAATTATTAAGGGAATCTGCAATTTGTTATAGATTTGTGTAGTAAAAGAAAATAGATTTTTAATTTTTGACTCCAGAAAAATATAAAGGGAGGGCTGTTTTGTTAACAGTATCAAAAGTGACTTCAGCTTCAATTATGTAAACTCTTTGTCATGTGAAGATATTTGAATCATGTCACACTTCTCATAACCCATTTTATTTCCCTTAAAATAGTTTAGTTCGTTTCAGGTTTTTTATTGCTTCCTTTTTTTTTAGAAGATCCACAAGGCATAGACATGTGTTCACAGAGAGAATAAATGACCATATTCTCTGGGACCTGCATTATTAACTCATTTATGCCTAGTGTTCCATTTTTGGAATTCTAATCATGTGGGAGTTATTTATATACTACCGCTCAAGATCATTACCAGAGTCTGATTGCAAAAATTCAAAAAATTGCAACCTCAGGCATAAATGGGTTAATGAGTCCAGAACTGGGCTTCCATAACCGCTTTATTTCTTACATCTGTGTTCATTTAAAGGAAGGTTCCAGTAATTTGTCTAAAAGGAGAAATTGCAAGTGAAAAGGTATACAAATGTTTAATTCAAATAGAAATTTAAATCAAATCACAGTAGCTATTTGTACTTTTTGCCTATAAAAGTTATACAACCTGTTGCACTGAATGAAAATTTTTAATGAGAAAAGAAATCTCATCAGATGTTTGATTGCATTGAAATTACAGAGAAGTTAATCTTTCACCAAAGAGAAAAAATTAGGAAATATTTTCAGCTTAGTTCCTGTTTCATTTTATTAAGTAAACATAATGGTTAAAAGATAAAACCTACATATTGTTTCAATGCAAGATAATGTTTAAGAACAAATTTTCTTGTTTGGTGAAAAGTCTTGAACATACGCTTTATTGTGAAAAATAAATTCATATAGTTCAGTTACATATTTTCAACCACTGTTGGCTATCTGTGTAAATCTAAATTCTATAAGTTACTTGAAGAGGTCCAGTGAAGCTTTGTGAGACATTTATTTCATGAGCCAAATATAAGCGTGTTTGGGGTTAAACATGAAGAACTTGACCTCTAGGCCACCAGATGGACTTATTATTTTCCAGCCAATAATCTATTCCTTTATAAATATCAAATACCCTTGATTTTCTGATGCCACAATTAACCTTTAAAATGACTCTGAAGTACAGTGAGACTTTTCTCATTCTCAGGAGAGGGAAGGATAATAATTTTTTTCTTTTCTGGCAATGATGCTAAGTTCTGACAGTTTGCTAAGCAGTGGAAATCATGCTGTAAGCAAAAGTCTCTGCAAGACAGAGATTCTTACAAAATAGTCTTTATTTTTCCAGTGGATACTGGCTACTTTTATAGGATCCAATTCCAAGAACAACTTCACAGAAGCAAGGGTTCCCTGTCCTGCAACTGAAATCACAAGACATAGATTGAAATGGCTAAGGCTTTTCTTCTACCTCTGTCCAGCTTAACCCCTGCCCTTCCTAGTTTATCTTTGTTCCACAGGCTGAATTTGTACATCCAAATCAATTACAGTAGCCTATGTTCTGATAGGATACAGTAAAAATATGAAAATGCGTGAACATTTTAAGTGGAAGATTTAGCTATTTAGCAAAACAGCAACAATATGAAAAGCACTTTACTTAAACATACAAATAGTCTGATTTCTGTGGGTTACTCAGAAAATTCCAGACCTGTGAAGAGCAGCAGAAAACTGCAGATGAAGTTTGACTCCTCTTGAGCACTTACTATTGTATTTCCTTGCCTTTTGAGAACTGCTTTGGTAATTAAATATGGCCTTCATTAGAGGGTCTCATAAGAGAAAATGGCCCATCAAAGATCAAAGCAGAGTCGTACATAAACTGGTCATATTTTACATTATATCTGTTTCGTTGGCTCATTTTCTCTGATAATTCAATTCTAGATTTAAAAATGCACCAAGAGTAAAATAAAATTTTGATCTTTCTTATCAGTGATGGTGAGTGTGAATTCTAGTATGACATCTGAAACAAAATCTGAGCATGCTCAAAAGTAGAATATATTTGGAATAGGAGACCATTTTTGGAAATCTCTGGTTGGTGGGTATTTATACATTCTCATCTCATTTAAAAACTTACAATTGACTCTGTAAAAAGGAAAACTAGACTACACTCGTGACTAGAAAATTAAGATCATTAACATTGTATCCATTTTAACACGGTACCCCAATAACATATATCATTCATTCATTCTTCATTCATTCAGTTGTTCCCCATATTTTCTGTTACTCCCTTAAGTTTGGAGCTGGATCTTAATTAAATGCTTAAGATTTCTCCAAAGAATAAATATAAGAAGTAGGAACACTTACTTTCCAGTAATAAACTGACTCCTGGATGGTGTGCAAATAGGCTGGACATAGTAGTTCTCCAGTTTAACTCCTTCGGCAGCGAGCTTGTCAAGAGTGGGCGTTTTAATCTCAGATCCATGGTAACCCACATCTCTAAATCCCTGATCATCCGCTAGGATGAAAATGAGATGGGGCTGGGAGGTGGAAGTTGTGCTGGGCTCTCGTCTGTCTCCAACTTGAGCTAGTAAGGCCCCTTCTTCCTCCTCTTCTAAACCCTGGCCCCAGGACAGGTAACCATAAGTGAGGAGGCAGAGGATCCAGAATCCTGCCAGCGCCCCCATTGCTAGCATCTTTCCAGGACAGACCCAGGCCTGTGGAGAAGGCGGAGACGGATGCCCCGCACAGCCCCTGGGAGCCATTCACTCGGGTCCCAGGTGAGACTCCACGCGGAGAACCACGCGCCCCGCGCCGCTGCGGGCGCACACATGCACCCAACAGACGGTGGAGACTCTCCACCTGGCAAGAAATCCTCCTCTCCTCTCAGCTGTCACCATGTCCGACAACTTTAATCTTCCATAAGTGATGGCTTAATGGATGGGACTCCGGAAGAACAAGGAGGGCTCGCTCTTCTCCAGCATATTTCACTTTCTCCTCCTCCTCCCCACTGCCTAGAGCAGCTTCCAGATAAGAAAAAAAAAAAAAAAAAAAAAAAAGTTAATATCTCCCCCTAAAAGTTCTCTGGAGAAAAAAAACAAGCAAGGAATTGAGAATCACACTGGACAGGAACTTTTCGTGGCCAGAGCGCCCTCGACGTTGGGGAGCAAAGCTGACTGTCCTGGCAGTGCTGTTACGGAGGGCAGTGGGAACGGCTGTGTGTCCTGCGGTTCCCACACCTGGAAAGAACTGCGAAGTGGACGCGTCGCGTCGGGCTCTCATCGGACAGATAAACTGCCGTAGTGGACGGCCTCCTGATCACCTTCTCCACTTTCCCAGGGCTGTTTTCCCCAGTCCTTTCCTAGGCGTTTGCCAATCTCCCCAACACTCACCAGGCGGCGAAGTGAGGAAAAAGCCGTTTCCTGATCTCCCTCCACCTCTGCAGAAACTCCCGGCAGCAATTCCTTTTCCCGGCTGCTGGGGAGCCTGAAGGCCAAACCCGGGTCCCCAGCCCCGTGGCCGGCCAGCGCGGAGCCCGTTTGGCCTTTGCGGAGCTGGCGCACCCGGCGCAGGCGCTACAAGCTGCGTGCGTTTTCTCAGCTAACTTATTTAGCCTTGGCACTCCGAGTTCTTTTGCCTCCTCCCTCTTTTCTCTCCAGTGAATCACAGAACGGTACTTTCTTCCTTAGCTCCCCCGGGAAGAGGGGGAGGGGGAAAGGACGGTTTAGAGGCTCGATCTTTCCTTTTTCTTTTCCGGGAGGTGGATGGCCAAGGCAGAGGAGGCTTTGCCAGAAGGAGAGCTGCGTGCTGCTCGAGCCTGACGGGATTCCGGGGTATCCGGCTGAGCTACCGCGTCCCAAGAGTGTTGCCTCCTGCCCATCACCCCGCGAGAGGGAAAGGACGGCGGCGGCGCGAATGGGGAATGGTGAAGGCGCTTCTTTTCGTGGGTCTGTTGGTGAAGAGCCCTGTCTCCCATCCCTAAAGTTACGCTTGCAAACTTTTTCTGGCTTCTGGAGGGAGTCAGAGAGAACGAGCAGGAGTAAAAACAAAATGCGTAGGACACTCTTTCCTCTCTCCAACTTCCTTTTCAGGTTTTCCTTTATTAGTTCCCCCACCCCCATCATTTTCTTACTCCTTTTGTCCCTACCTCCTTTTTTTTTTTTTTTCCACTAATGATGACAAATTTTAAGTTTTATTTCCTCTCCCAATAGTTGGCTTTTACAGCCTGATTCTTCGTTACCTTTTCCCTATGTGAAGATACTGGAATTGCCCGCTCCCTCTTACCTCTACCCTAACTTACCCACAGGGTGTCTCCAGCCAAGAGCATGGAGAGGAAGAGTTATGCGTTTCTCCTTCAAGAACCGCGAAGCCAGTCTGCTTTCCTGCATTAAAGAAGCCAATGTTTCCCATCCAGTAATAGAGGGAGCTTCATCATTTATTTCTTTCTTTTTTACTGTGTGGAGTAAAACCATTGTAAAAACTTGTCTTGGTTGTGAAAATACTCTTGATTTTACTAGAGTCATAGTTTTAAAGCCCTGCTCAAAGGCAGGAGAGGGATGTATAGTACAGTCTCTCTTTATAGAGAGGCAATGGATGCCAAGAGCCACTGAGACATTTTTTTCTAGCACCAAATTTATTCAAGTTACTTACTGAACACCTACTGTGGGCTGGCACATTACCATGTCAGATTCTCTCAGTTGACTGAAACATAAATCTAAGTTTCATTTAGTCATTTATTTTTAATTCTCTCCTGTTCCTGCTGAGTTCCCAGGCAAAACTTTGTGAAATAGGAACTTTGAAAGGCGCGATGGTGCTCCCTGAAGTTAACTTTGCTAGCTGCTGTAGGCCTTCTAGTCTCTGCTCTTCCCTGTAGCCTTTCTGGCTAATCTGGGGAGAGACAGTGAGTCTTAGAAGACATGTTCAGAAAGGTGAGTTTAGCAGTTCTGTAAATTAAGTCACTAAATATGTAATGAGAGTACTGAGTGTCAGGGGATTGAAAGGCACTGAGAGGTAGGGCTCTAGGCCTAATGGGCCTAGCCAGGTGCTTGAATGGGAAAGATGCAAACACTCTGATCAATCTAGCCTTTTATTTGGGGAGATAGTGACTTCTTGTGACATAGCACAAGAAGTATCCATGTTCTGTATGAGAAGGAGGCACATTTTCAGTTGAGGTTCCAAGCCATAATAATAATAAAAAATCAAAATGTTTGGAATACTTACCATGTACTAACCATAGTACTCTGTATATTGATACATACACACATAAACAGTTGTATCTATTAGGGATTAGTTTCAGAACCCTGAGGGATACCAAAATTCATGGATGTTCAAGTCGCTTATGTAAAATGGTACAGTATGTGTATATAACCTACATACTAATATATCTTCTATGCTTTAAAACATCTCTAGATTACTTATGATACCTAATACAATGTAAATGCTATGCAAATAGTTGTTAGAGTGTATTATTTTTATTGTTGTATTGTTATTTTCTATTGTTTTCTTCTTTTCTCAAATGTTTCCAGTCTATAGTTGGTTGAGTCCCATAATGTAGAACCTGGGAATACGGAGGGCTGACTGGGTATGTTTGTTTATATAGTGCTGTATACAGTTTATTTCTTTTCCTTCTATATCAACCTTATGAGGCATTCTTCCATTCAACAAGTATTTGGGGAGCTGGGCCAATGCTAGAGGATGGGAAGGTAATGATGAAATAAATCAGTCTCTGCTCTGTTGAAATATACACCAGAGTAGAGAAGAAATACATTCATCAATGAATCACTCTACAACTCCAATAGTTAGTTACTATATTACTTACTATACAAATGTTCTGAAAAAAAGGAACATTTTCAAAGAAATTTTAAAACACAAAAAACAATATAGACTGGGTACAACTACTGGGTGGGGTGGTTCAGGGGAGTCATCTTTAAACTGAGGACGTGTTATTTTGTTTGTCATTGTCTTTCTACAGAAAACTTAGACTTAGAAATCTGACTTCAAAGCCGATGGTTTACAAAAGATATTCTTCCTACAAATGGGCTTTAAAGTATTTGCCAGCCACATAGCACAGAGATAAAACAGCTGCCAGAGTTAGAATTCTAATCCCCACATGAGGCATGCAGACACTCTATGCTCAGGATAGAAGGACAGAATTCAGGTCCTAAAAGGCCATTTCTGGATTAAATAGCACTAACACTAAGAAAGACTAAGAACTACTTACAATTACTAATAACAGCGAAGAAACAAGAATGGCCATGCCACAGTAGGCCAAATGAGATGTGACTCAAAGAGGAAAATCAAAGGCAGCTGAGTGCCCTACCCACAGTAGGTAAGACTTATTTCACATCCCTAAGGAAGACATGGAGAATGGCATCAGAGGCTATTGAATGCCCTAAGCTTTATAGTGCACATACTGGTATTATAAGTACATATGCTTTGCATTTCTCATTATAGGATTGGGTTTCATGTGCTCTAAGCAACAGTTTTAGCATTCTCATGAAGTCTCCAGTTAAAGACCCTCTGTAACTTACTAGTTCTTTCCTGATTTTAGAATCAGCATTTTAGTATTCAGGCATCAGCTGCCCTTACAGACGTCCATCTTAGGTTTATTTCAGCTTGAATATGCCTATATTACACACAAACTCTGGTTGTGGAGTGGTTATATAAAAATTTAAGCTGTTATTTGAGTCACAAAAAAAAAAAAAAATAGAACTGCCTAGAAACGAAATCTATATGGACTGAGTCTTCAAGTGAGGGTTAATCAGGAGGTGAGATGAAGCTATGCCTTAAAGTATGATAAAAATTTGGAAGTAGGAGAGAAAGTTAAAGGAAGGACATTTCAAGTTAAAGAAAAGAGAAAGTCAGTTTTGCTGAACACGTTTGGATTGGAAGATTATGGGAAAAAAGTGTTAGGAAGTTCAGGTGACACCAGATTTGAGAGACTTTGGAAAAGTATGAAGAGCTGGAACTTGATTCTGAGGGCATTAGGAGGAATGAAATCCTTTGAGTAGAACATAACATGATAAACTATTTTAGTGAGGTGATTTCTGGGATAGATTTATAGGGATAGAAGTTACAAATGAGCTGCTTCAGTTCATCAAAGTTTGAAGAGTTGTAACTTTACTCTGAGGGTACTGAACCTATTGACTTCTTAGTGGGTTTTTGTTTTGTTTTGTTTTGTTTTTATCTTGATTAGAGTAAGACATGATGAAAAATATAGGAAAAGAATTCCCAGGGCATTTTCAGGGAGAAACTTGAGGGAGTAAAGACTAGAATCACACAACTGCCACTGTGTGTAAAAATTGTGCAGCAAAATATTCCTTAGGTTAAAAAACTATGCTTTGGTTCTGTTACCTGATGGGAGAAGAGCATTTATTAAATCAACTAAGAGGGGGGCAAAATGGACAAAAGAATAAGGGACCCAAGATAGGACCTTGTTTGACTGGATAATAGAAAAGAATGAGTAGGTTAAATTGGGAGAATGGCCGCCAACAAAAAGGGATGGTATGATTAAGGTACCACAGGGTGCCTGGGGTTCCTCAAGGGACAGACGAAGGGTACTGGATGCCCAGAGGTTGGAGAGTGGAGTGAAGGATTGGGTATAGGGAGCCTGTCAGTCAACATAAAAGCTAAGAAAATCACAAGCAAGCAGTAAAATAGGTAGCTAAACACTATTTCTTTGAAACATCCATGTTAAATATCACCATTAAAATGACATTTCCCACAGGCTCCCAGTATGCATGGACTGAATAGCTTATGAATTTCATACATCTAAAAAAATATTTGAAGGGATGCCTAGTAGGACAGCACGCCTGCCACACCATTTCTGTTTCTTCTGTAGGTACTTATTTTCAACTAAACATATACTCAAATTTCAAAAAGAATCAGCTAAGTGTAGGTTTAAAAATAGTGAAAACCGCCAATCCAGAGATTTACGGACTATTAAAAAGATTGAAAACCCAATTGCTGCTTGGTTGCATTTATAAGTACATTAACTACTCAAAATGAAGGAATGTCACTGTGTTTAAATTAATACACAAATAGTCTAAAACAGATGTTTACCCTAATATGATTGTTTTGACATGGATGACATATAATAAACTCCTTATTAAGTATTATTAACTCTTTACTAGGCTATGGAACTTAGGCTGCTTTGAGCCATTAAGTTATCACAAGCAACATTCACTTTCTGACCAAGACCAAGTAGGATGGTTAACTTTCTGGTTTAGTAAATGTTAAGTTGAGTTTGCTTCTGATATGGTTAGACAGTGTGCCCACCCAAATCTCATCTTGAATTGTAGCTCCCATAATTCCCATGTGTCATGGGAGGGACCTGGTGGGAGATAATTGAATCATGGAAGAGGGTCTTTCCTGTGCTGTTCTCATGACAGTGAATAAGTCTCACAAGATCTAATGGTTTTATAAAGGGGAGTTCCCCTGCATATTCTCTCTCTCTTGCAGTCATGTAAGACATGACTTTACTCCTCCTTGGTCTTCCACCATGACTGTGAGGCCTCCCCAGCCATGTGGAACTTTGAATCAATTAAACCTCTTTCATTTATAAATTACCCAGTCTCAGATACGTCTTTATTAGCAACATGAGAACAGACTAATATAGTAAATTGACACCAGAAAAGTTGGATGTTGCTGTAAAGATACCTGAAAATGTGGAAGCAACTATGGAACTAGGTAACAGGAAGAGGTTGGAACAGTTTGGAGGACTCAGAAGAAGACATGAAAATGTGGAAAAGTTTGGAACTTCCTAGAGACTTGTTGTATGGTTTTGACCAAAATGCTGATAGTGATATAGACAATGAAGTCCAGATTGAGGTGGTCTCAGATGGAGATGAGGAACTTGTTGGGAACAGAGTAAAGGTCACTCTTGCTATGCAAAGAGACTGGCGGCATTTTGCCCCCACCCTAGAGATCTGCAGATCTTTGAACTTGAGAAAAGTGATTTAGGGTATCTGGGGGAAGAAATTTCTAAGCCACAAAGCATTCAAGAGGAAGCAGAGCATTAAAGTTTGGAAAATCTGCAGTCTATGCAATAGAAAAGTAAAACCCATTTTCTGGGGAGAAATTCAAGCCTGCAGCAGAAATTTGCACAAGTAACAAGGAGTAGAATGTTAATCACCAAGACAATGGGGGAAATGTCTCCAGGGCATGTCAGAGACCTCTGCGGCAGCCCCTCCCATCACAGGCCTGGAGGCCTAGGAGTAAAATATGGTTTCCTGGGCTGGGCCCAAGGACCCCATTTCTGTGTGCAGCCTCAGGACGTGGTGCCCTGCGTTCCAGCTGCATCAGCTCCAGCT